TAGTTATCAAGGGTGAGTGATTAAATTGTACAATTTGATAAAGTTCATACAAGCTGACAATTGATTTATTTTTTTTTAAACCCAATTTGGATGCCTTGTTTTTATCGCAAGGTTTAGAAATATGCAAATGATTAGACCAATTATTTTGACATCAATAATTAATTATTAATTTATATGGGAAATATACTTGTTCACTAATTGCCGCAAAGGTTGTCGATATTGCAGGCTCAAGCATTCCTGGTGACATATCATCTAATACGGCTAATCAAGCAATGAAGGTCGAGAGATCAGTTTTCAAGAACGGAATCACCGAACGAGCACAGAATGTGCTATAAGAATTTAGAATTACATTTTATTAATATAACACCATCCTGATCGGTTATTGTGATCGCTTTCAACCCATCTATCCTATTATACAAGTAAGATAAACTTTAACAAGCTATGAAGTCAAAAAAAAAAAAATAAAATAAATAAATAAAATAAAAAAAGATTTAATAAGTAAAACATGCCTTAAAAGCAGTTTGTCAAAATATGATTGTAATTCCTTGCAGTGTAACGTGTAATATTTAGGCAATGTTAGAAGAAAAAAACAAAAAAGAAACAACGATTACAGTGGTTTGAATATTTACGTAAAGTAACGTAATACCTCACCCATTCTTTGCTTCTTATTGAGGGAATGAAACAAGTGAAATGATACAAGTACAAATAAGAGCAATTATTAATATTAGATATTAGATATTTGATTAGATATAAAAAAACATGGATGTCGTCAATAGAAATCAAGCAGATTTATTAGATAAATCTGCTTGATATCTATTGATGGCAGCCCAATTAGCTATTTTAGGTAACGGTAACCAATTAATATGTCAATATATACCAGATACGTTTTAACATCTGTCTCATCACTTTTAATGACATATTCGAGGAAATTACGGATAACCGTCCCTTGTTCCTCTGCGAACGTTGGACCTGGATTTGATGCGCTTGGAATAGCATTGGAACTATATCTTACACTTGACATTAGTATATTCGAACGAACCTCCGATAAAAAAATTTATAATGATGAGGTAATTTTAACGTATTCCGGCGAGGGTAAAGATGGTGTTCCCCTTTCCGTCGAAAAAAATCTAATTACGAAATCAGCACTTTATGTTCTCGCCTGTAACAACATTCCTGGTTTTACTGCACCAATGAACATTAATATTAATAACCCAATTCCGATGGGTCGTGGTCTAGGCTCTTCAGGTGCTGCAGTTGTTGCTGGCATTATGTTAGGTAATGCCTCCGGAAATTTAGGTTTAACTAAGGAGCGCATGCTTGATTATTGCTTGATGATAGAACGTCATCCTGACAATGTTACAGCTGCTTTAATGGGTGGATTTGTGGCTTCATACTTAAGGGAGTTAAATACGGATGATACAGGGATTCCGCATTCGGAAGAATTAGATGAAAAGAATGATACGATAAATAAAATTTC